AAAGAATGTGTCGTGACGCCGGATACTTATCTATTTTGGAAATATTTATTTTCAATAAACATTTCATGAATTAAAAATATATTCAAGCCCGTGTCTACTAAAAAAATTGTTTGCTTAAAACCTAGTATTTTTAAAGTAACTCTTGATGCTTTGATGTAAATTCCGCCAGGTCCCTGATAAATCTCTCGTTGATATTGTTCCGGGACTCGATCGATTGCATGTGAAGGATGCGGTGCTTGATCCAGTGTTGTGTCATTGAGAAAATGACGCTCGTGAAAATTTTACCTCGTTGGTGGAATGCTTTGGTTTTGCATTCTTTTTCCTCATGTCCTCGCCTCTTACAGTAGCCACATCTTGATGTTGAGACTGGGGTTTTTGAATAGGTTTCTTTGAGACTTCATTATATTGTACATTATAGTCTTCTTAATTAGAATTCTCCTTCGAAAGTTCTTGCTTTCGAAAACGCTTGATTTGAATGTCCAGCTCGAAGCAAGAGGTGATCTCCAATTTCTGATTTTACATTACAGCGAAAAGTCTCGATGAACTTTCGCTGGCAAAGTTCTTCTTGGATACACATGGTTGCGACTCCATTGCTTGGCGAATTAATGGTGGTAATAATATCGTGTATTCGGAAGAAACGATTTATGAATTCGTCAATATTTTCATTATATTGTTGGATACACATGTCTCTTTGTCCACTTGTCTTCCATTGCAGTGAGATTTTGAGCTTTTCCGAATAAATATCTCATTTTTCGAAAAGCCATGGAAAATTTGGCGTAGCGTCGATTTTTACTATGCCCTTCGCTTTTCCTGTGAGTTTTTATGCTATGATGCCGCAAAGAAGTTCGTGTTGATTGACTACGCTTCACTGCGACTTGAATGTGTCCAATAAATGATTCGAATCCATCGAATTTCAAGATTAGATGCATTGCTTTGTCATATGTATTTATTAAAATCTCGGGATTCTCTGATTGAACAATCATAGACATTGTTTCCGGAAATCATTCTCCGGATGGATTTATTTGCAAATTGTTCATTTGATCTCTAAGCACTTGCACAGCATCCATAACTTTTAACAATTGTTCTGCTAATATATTAATATATTAAAGTAAGTTTGTTCGCGAGATGCTTTGTGCGCGTGACATTAGGCAGTTATGAAAAATTTTATTCTAATATATTAATGCAGTAGGAAAAAGTATTAGAAGGAATTGATTTACCCTTCTATCATTTGTTCTGAATATTATCTAGTCTGGATGCTAAATTCGATCCAGCGAGATAATCTTCGAATTTTCCTCGAAAGTAACTAGTGTAACTAATATATGTCGTCTCGAAGTTAAAGTACTTCAAATTTTACTGTTTTTATGCACTTATTATTCCGCACTGCTGCCAATTAAGATTCGCAATAATGTCCTTTTAAATAAAAATTCTTTATTCTTCATCTTGTACAAAATTACAATTTTCATTTTTAGATGCGACCAGTCTCGCAAGACTCAATGAACTGATTCACTTAATCCAAGCGCTCTCTCTATTTTAAGGCTCGGAAATAATTCTAGAAAATTCGAGTTATTGAGTTGTAAACAGATTCCTTCCATTTTTAGAAAGTCTTATTTCTATTCTTATCCTAAAGGATCTTCGTCCCTTATATAAAGAAAAGAAAGAAGAGGTCGTATTTTTAACACTTCTTATCTTAAGGTTAAATTTTAAAATAGGTATATGATCACAACGGGGCGCACGATTTTCCACGCGACTCTTATATCACCTCCCCCCTTCCTCCCTCTGACTTTCATCCCTCCTGCCTCTTTGCTATGGAGCGCACGACTTTCCACGCGAAGTGAAGTTCATCCCCATTTTTTCCATTTAATTGTTAGTTATTTTAGTATCTGTTGGTTAGAGAATTTTTTAATTATTTTTTTCGTATTCCTCATTAGAAATGCTTCCGAAAATCATTTTCATTTCGAGGAGTCATAGTTATCGTAATTGTACCGAAATCTGTAAATAGAATGTGTTGCGATTTTTAATTCATGAAACTTTATAAAATTTGTATAAATTTTTCGATTTGACGGGTTTCAATTTGTATATTTATATCTTCGTAAAAGAAAGTCGGATCGTTATCTCAATTACTGATTCCAAAAATAGAGGTATCGAACTTTAAAATGCTTTTTGAAAGATTATGCTAGGATTTTTTATTCTTTTATCTTGAAGTTTGAAGTATTTCTCAACAAATCATTAAAAAATCATTTAAAATCAATGTTAAAAAGGACTAAATTCAAAATTCACAAATCTTTTCGAAAAAATGGTCGCGGAACAATGTTTGAAAAAGCGTTTCATAGCTTAAAAACAATTTTCGAAAACATACTTTTCAACAAAATTTTTAATTTTAACAGATGTCCATTTGTATCTCTATAACTTTATAAAAAATCAATCAGCTCGAAATATCAATTACTGAAAGTAGAGACTACTCGAAAGTAGAGACTTCAATTTCAAAATGTTTTTTTTTTACAGTGTCGTTACGATTATTTTTGACGAAATTATACTTTCTTATATAATTTATAATTTATTTGTGGAGGACTAAGTGATCCCTTAATTTTTTTTAATAGTGTATTTAAATAATAAGATTTAATCAATACTTACTTAAGATTTGATCAATAGTACCCAAAGTATTATAAAAATATTAAATACTATAAAAAAATCTTTCAAGGATTTGTCTTTTGTATTCAAATATTAATTTTATAATAAATTCTTTCATAAATGATATAAATATAATTTATATCATATATTTCTCTTGATTTTTCTTCTTTAATCTTACGATATTAAGGATATATTTGCCTATACAGCACAGAAATATTGCAGCAACATTGCAAAAATATTTCATTTCAAGCAACATTGCAAAAATATTGCGAAATATAGCTACAATATTTCAGCAACATTGCAGCAACATAAAAAACGTGTCCGTTTTTTAAATATTGATACGTAATATTACAACATAATATATATGCAATATTAGATTTTGCGCACAGTAGAGGAATACTTGCAGTATTATTGCAGAAACATTGTAATAATACAGCATTGCTGTAATATTACAATGTTACTGCAATATTTATTATAAGATTTTGTATATAAATTTAAATATAAAAAATTAGAAGTAGGAATTAAATATAACATACAATGAATACAAATAAATTAATTATGTCTTTATAATTAATTATGTTTTTATATTTTATAGGATTTCATAGGGATTAAATATAATGCACAATGGACACAACAATAAGATATAAGACGTATAGACGTTCCAATATACACTGCCAGTACTAAAAATTTACAGTAACGTGAATTATAAATTTTCAGGATGTACATATTGGAACACGGCCTATACGTATTATATCTTATTGTTGTGTCCATTGTGCATTATATTTCCGTACATTAATAATCCTTACTTCTAATTGTTTTATGTCTATTAATTATAGACATTGACTACATTTATATCTTATGTTCGTTTTTCCACTAATAGATTAACTTTAATCTTGGTTCAACTTTTTTTCGTTTTTTTTTAATTTTTAAAACTAGAAAAAGACGAAGATAAGTTGAATTGAGATTAAAATTAATCTTTATTGGTAAAAATGGACATTAATCGGATTTAATAATATTCGTAATTAGAAACTAATCAGTCTATTTTTCCATTTTTAGTATTTCATTTTTCATGTAGTTATGAGATTGATCAGTTTCATAATTACAGATGTTATGAAATTCGATTAAACCGTGAAAACGTAATCATTAATTTCTATTCTTCCATTATGTCCAAGTCCTTACTTTATTGGGTTACATACACAAATCAATATATATTAAATTAATACAAGTCTTAACACTCAAAATGAATTTTCTAGCAAAAGCATAAATCGACAAAGTGACAAGAGATTCTTGTCTTTGTTTCTTACTGATTTTTGAACAAAGGATGACTCTTGTCTCAATTGACTCAATTTGTGTCTTTTGCTGGAAATATTTTTAAAATACTGCTGCAACATTGCTGAAATAATATTGCAAAAAGAAGTCTTCGTAATGTTTCTGCAACATTGTATTGCAATATGAAACATTGAAATGTTGCAGCAATGTTGCTACAAGTTTCTGTGCTGTACGGATAGGGAGACGTTATTTGCATTATTTAGCACTACAAGCTCTTCGCGGAACTGCAGATAGCACTAACAAACTCGATCATGACGTCACTAATGGTAGCGCGTTACGTTATAATTGTACGCCATCAATGCTATTCTTCTGAGGTAGTGTACTAGTGTACTCTAGTGTGTTGGTAACGTTGGTATTATTTGTAAATTCTGTGAACAGCTCTTTGCAAGCATTGTTATGTTACTACATTGAATGTTGTTTCAAGAACCGTTATAACTTTCTCTCAACTGTCCATAGATTTCCTAAATGTTCAAATTCAGACTGCGTTATTCACTGCAAGAATCGTAGGGTATACATAACGTGAATTTCAAATTTTCTCGTTCTGAATAACAGAACGCAATTTTAATTGCGATTTCTATGATGGCTTACCGCTAAGCAAAAATCGTCAGTAACAAGATAATTCCGTCCTTCTACACATTTATAATGAAAGAAAAAAAAGCTAGACAGAAACTTTGAAAAATTAAAGATGATACTTATAACAAGCAAAAATACGTTTATTTTACCTTAGCCATCATAGAAATTACAATTGAAATTGCATTCTTACGAGAAAATTAAAAATTCACGTTACTCTACGCGAAACTCTTAAATCAAATGCGAAAAAATTAAATTATTAAAGAAAAGTTTGGTCGGTTGAGAACAAAACTCTCTACATTAATCTCGATGAATGTTAAACGTTACCAACGCTATGCTAGAATTGTGCATGGAGCTTGCTAATATTATCGCGTTATTGGCTGCATGAACAGCGTTTGCGTTTATAGCGCAAATAATGTTTCCCTGAACGCACCTCCAGAATATTCGCGACATTTCTCAAGATTTGTTTTCAGGATTGGGGTACTCACAGGCTTTCGGTGCATTCTGCGTTGTTTCGTATTACAGCGCTTTGATGGCATTGACACTGTACTATTTAGTATCGAGCTTCCAGTCTGAGTTACCGTGGTCATTCTGTCGTCCGGAATGGAAAGATTGCATCGATGACTCGATGTTTAAAAATGTCTCCGAGGATCGTATTGCTACCATTCAAAGTTCCGCAGAACTGTATTTCAGGTTTGAGACTGAAACAGCATTAACTCGTAAATGACACTTGGATGCAAATTCGCACCTGTAGAATTTCCAACTTACAGAATATTTCGTTTAACATGCAGTTTTGAATAAATAACATTTTGTTTGTTGAAAATTCAATACTATTATATCAATTGATTAGAAAATTTTATATTTAAAAAACATAGATTTTATTTTAATTTCTTTTTTAATTCAGAAAATATATCAGAAAATATAAAACATTAAAAACGTCTGCTGCGAATTTGTACTCATTGTACAATAGATCTTTACGGATACTCAAAAGGGACGTGCTCAAAATATCCCTTATGGATTAAATAGCCTTTTTTAAAAGTTTTGTAATATTGAGAATGATCATTATTTAATATCAAACACTTTCTTTAATTTCAAACATCAGACAATTTAACAATAACTAATACGATTCATTTTTATATGATTTTTATAGGAAAATAGTGTTACAAGAATATGCGTCCATCGAGGATGGTATCGGTGTACCATCCTGGCATTTGTCGATATGTCTGTTCCTCAGTTGGGTCTGCGTCTTTGGAGTGCTCTTCCGCGGCGTGAAGAGCACGGGCAAAGCCGCCTATTTTCTTGCATTATTTCCTTATATTGTGATGACAGCTTTACTGATCAGAGCCGTTACTCTTGAAGGTGCCGTTGATGGTATCCTCTTCTTTGTAACTCCGAAATGGGATGCTCTGTGGAAGCCCACTGTCTGGTACGCCGCTATCACACAATGTTTCTTCTCCTTGTCAGTTTGCTTTGGTCCAATCATCAACTATTCGTCTTATAACAATTTTGAACACAGAGTGGACAGGTAAAATAATCTATAATCAAAGATAAGCTATAAATAGATTAAGAATTATTAATAAATAAAAGATTTATTAATAAAATAAATAAAAACATTATAATTAAATAAAATAAGGTTGTGTAAATTCATTTTTCCAAAATACAATATTATTTTTCAACTTACACTATTGTTGCAAACTCATTCGAGTTCATAAAAGATTTATTTAGAATAGAAAAAAATTTAAAAAATAGAAAAAAATAAATGTTTTCTATTTTATTTTGCTCATTAGGGACGTGATGATAGTGACCACACTGGACACATTCACTAGTCTGATAGCTGGTTGTACGATCTTTGGTATTCTCAGCAATTTGGCCCATGAGATGAATACAAAGGATATTGCCAAGGTGGTCCGCGGCGGCATTGGTTTGGCTTTCATTTCCTATCCAGACGCTTTATCACGCTTCACTTTTATGCCACAGCTATTCTCCATTCTGTTCTTCATCATGATGTTCGTTCTTGGCATTGGAAGCTCTGCGGCGTTGTGTGGCGCGGTATTCAGCATTTTCCGCGATCATCTGCCTAATATGAGGCAGTGGTTGTTGGTACTCTGCGTCATCTGTTTCGGTTTTGTCGTCAGCCTCATCTATATCACTCCGGTTTGTTAATTACGTCACACATTTAAGCTTACTGTAAAAGTACATATAGTTGACACAAATATTAATTATAAATGTTATGTTTAATCGATACTTGATAACTAATCGTACATGTGTTTGAGAGACATAGAAGCACGCAAAATGTTAACACTAATTCATTGAATGCTAAATGAATGAAAAATTAAGTTTAGAAATTATATAGGATAAAAGCACTAAATGCGGATAGTTCTGGATCACATACTATATTCGAATAATTATAGTATTTTCCATAAAATAATGCATATCGCAAAATTCTTTAACATTTATTTTATCTTTTTCAAGTGTCAGTCATTTTTCATTTATTAACAATAACGCTATCCATTTTATTGATATTAACTAATAAAACGTGAGAGTTAAACTAAGATTACTAATTGTAAGATATGTATTTTTAAAAATTCATTCAAAGTATAATACCGTAAGAATTGCCTTATGGCTTTTACAGGAGGTAGTAAATAGCATTAGATTTCTTGAAAAAAATCAATATTATATTCAGTTGAAATTAAATCCAAAAAAGATAAAATATTTGGTAAACTGATCCGCAATTAGTATATGGAGTTTAATTGTGGACAATTGTCACTACATCATTTAATTAAAATTAAAACATAAAACGGTATCAAAATGAAATAAGATCAGCCATAATATAATCTTAATCTATTACAACTATTAAATATTTTATTAATTGTTCGATATTGTTTTTGAATATTTTATTAACTGTTCGGTATTGTTTTGAATAAAAATATAAATTTCTTTTTAAAAGTGATCTACAAATAGTTTCTTTATGTATAGAAAGAACATTATAAGAAAAAATTATTATCTTAAGTCGTTGTTTATTGCTTCTAATCATGTAAAATAAATTTTTACATTTTTTAAATAATTAAAAATTTCAAAACTCTTGAATGGCAAAGATACTTTTGATGGAATGTTGATTCTATGTTAATATTTAATAAAT